TGTTGGGGAACTGCACCTTTATCCTCAGAAATGTAGCCCCAACAGCTGGGCTTCAGAAGCAAAGGAGCCACCAGGCTCCAAAATCTGCAGGCAATAGTTAAAGAATCAAATGCTATCAAAGCCGCAGGGAGAAAGGAGGAAACACAGCTTTGATCAACCACAGAAAAACAAGAATAGCTCCAACCGAGCAGAAGTGACAGTGAAATCAGAGATGTGAGCACAAAGGATGTTGTCATAAGCAATAAAAACCCCAAGTTGTGGTTTAGCAAGAGCTGACCGATGTCTTAGGTGGCAAAGCGTGACTGAAAGGAAGTGTTGAGCTGTGAGTCATTCACCTTAAAGGGTTTTATCCTTGGATAGAAGTCAAAGAGACAGCTCAGGGAGAAAAGAGAAGTGCAGGAAAGAACAGGAGCAACAGCAAAGCACTGGGCCTCCTCACAGAGCAGAGGCCAAGCAAAGGGCAAGGCTGTTATCTGCTGGCTATGCTCCCTTACAGCTATTTCTGGCTGGGCACATAATACTGTGTGTTTTACAACACACAGTATTATGTTCCTCAGGCTCGTGCCTAGAGGAACTCTGTCCACAGTGCAAACAAGAACTAGTACAAGAGTAGGAGCAAGAGTAGAAAGAGGGAAGTGGTACACAGAAAGCAAGTCATATCACTAATGGGGGTGGAGGGTGGGGGGTGTTTATACAAACAAACAAACGTCAAGCTTTTTCTTCTGTAGTCCTTTTACCATTACTTCACTACCGACACAGCGCTCCACAGGCAGTTGGGCTGGAGGAGCAATACAGCAATTAACCAGCTGATGTGGCTTGGTCTTATGAAGAAAGATGAAAAGTGAGAAACTAATACAGAAAATTACAGGTCAAATAAAGGCACCTGTGATAAGGATCAATGCATTTCCAGGGGGTGAAAGCACAAAGAAGGGTGAGGAATTATTTAAGGTGTTTCAAAAATGGGATGGAGAAAATAATGGGGGTGATGGAGGGATGTAGAAGGGAAAGGTGACAGGATGAAAGGCTTTAGAGCATCATGCAAATGTAAACACAGCCTGACTTAGGAGTTAGTTCTAGATTACAGGGAAGCATCAGGAGTGATAGGAAGAAGAAAATGAATGTGCAGGATCTCATGTTGCTCCAAGGACAGGACTAGAAAATGTATAATTGAAGACATGGTAAACACAAGGGGTAAACAGAAGACTAAAGAGGATGTTGTTTGTGGTAACACAGTAACATCGGGGGGGGGGGGGGGGGAGATACAAAGGAAATTTCCAATGGCCCCAGTAGAAGTCAAAACATAGATTTATCACCAGAGGATTGAAACAAAGAGAGAACACAGCCAAAGCACGTTTCCATGTCCCCAACTCAGCTTCAGTGCGCAAATCAGCTTTATTGATTATTAACCAAGTTTTACACTGAAGCAGGTGACAACAGAACCTGACTCACATGGTGGGCAAGGCAGGAGCTGAAGTGATCAAAAGCACTGAAAGATGTGCTGAGATAAGGTAAGAAGAGAACTAATTACATGGTAAAATCCCAAAGATTCTATGGTTCTACACAGTCCTATAGTTTGTATAGCTTAATATAGTTTGCATAGTTTTGTTTTTTTTTGTATAGTTTAATTTTCTGACTTCTTAGGTCCAGTTTTAAGTAATGCTTCCATATTGTCATTATCCCCCAACATGCCCCCACTCATTTCCTTGCATTCCCCATACCAGGTGGGAGAGCACAGTGAAAAAATAATGTCCCATGAACACTTATGTAGGCAGTATTTTTTACATCACAGTGGAACAGATACAGCTTTGGGGAGGGAAGGGTCTGAAATAATTAAAATAAGCAAAACCTTGAGATAACAGTAAGTCAAAACTGTAACTTTGAAGCCGGACAATTAACCCCATGAAAGGAGAATGGGTGAAATATCTACTGTCATTGCCTGACCATTGAAACTAAACTTTACATAAAGTAGCCATGGGAACTTTACAGTACAAGAAAATATAACTTGTTTTTTTTTTACAAAAGAAACAAGTACATGTTCTTTACTTTTGAGTATGTCCTGGGTTCAGCTGTAAGTTATTTTTCCTAGTAGCTGGTGCAGTGCTGTGTTTTGGCTTTAGTTTGAGAACAACGCTGATAACACACCAATGGTTTCAGTTGTTGCTAAGTAGCACTTATCCCGATCAAGGACTTTTCAGTCTCTCATGCTCTGCCAGGGACGGAGGGGCACAAGAAGCCTAGAGGGAGCAGAGACAGGACACTTGATCCAAACTAGCCAGAGGAATATTCCATACGTTTTTCTGATTCTCCTCCCCATCCTGCCCAGACTGGGGGAAGGAAGGTGGGGAGCAAATGAGTGAGCGGCTGTGTGGTGCTGAGTTACCGGCTGGGCTTAAACCACAAGAGAGTAATGACAAATATGCCCAGTATTAATGCTTTATACTAAAGTACATCTGTGTCTGTTTGCCTCTTTCTCTCCTAAAAGAGAGAAAGATTGTTAAATGAGAAAGCATCAGTACTGTAAACAAAAAGGAAAGTTATGTCTGTAGGGCTTAGAAATATGAAAATAGAGGATGAATGCCATCATGCAGATACATGATGCATGTTTGTACAGAGAAAGCTTGGAGAAAGAACACAATATCCCTGTATTTATTCATAGTAACGTATTACAGCACAATGTTGAGGGCACATAATAAGCTGTCAAATGAAATAACTTTCATATAATATTAGTTACAGGAAGCATTTTGGAAGATTGAAGCACAGAAGTAATCACATTTTCAACATTACTCTAAAAGTTATTTCAGCATATTCATTCTGGAAGAAAGAAACTTGAACGAAAGATGATTTTTGGTTCTCCCACCTTGAAATGTGCAATTTTTCCATATAAGACATTGGAAAAAAATAAAAATCAAGTGAGCAGGCTGGATTTTTCACTTCTCTGCTATCTGTACAGTTGTGCATGTGAAGAACCTGATGTGTATTTATAGTTCTACTGAACTCAAGTGTGGGATGATCCACATGCTGGAGCATCAGCAGAAAACTGGAGTAGCACAAGAAATTTAACTAGGTACAGTACGAAACAGCAGGTACAAAGGCAGCTTAAGAAAAACAAAATGTAGAGCATGACTGGGAAGTCATTTGTTTTATTCCTGTCCACGTATTGATGATCTGAGTACAAATATTTCAAATTATTGCTGTTGTTTTCATTGCAATGATTATTTGTGCTTGTTCCAGTAACTTACAACAGAATCAAATTATGAGAAAAATAAACCAGATCAAAACCAATTACATTAGAAATGCAATGGATAATTTATGGAACATTAAAAACATAAGCAACCCTTTTAACTATCCAATAAATCAACAACTGCAGAATTATTTTAGATTTTATTAAAAAATCCATGAAACTTAATAAATCTCATTTTACACTCCAATAGGACACACAAATCGGTTCAGTTTTATCTTGCAGCTGCTTAACAAGTAACCAAGTCAGTTTTCCAGCAGCTGATGGGGCATTGGCCCAGCTGCATGTCAGAAGACATGTCAGAAGACATGCAGTCCCCAAGGTGCAATTCCCACAAACCTACTTCATAGCTCCTTCGATGGTTTGCTTTGGAGAGGTTTAAATAAACCCAGCTGCTCTGCTCAGCGATGCACTCCTGCAGCGGGACAGGGTCGGCTGCTGAGGGCTGCCAGGCTCACAGCCTTCCAACCCCAAACTGAACCCAGGCAGCGCGGGCCTCAGCAGACTGTGCCTGGGGAACCAAACACACACACACACACACACACACATGATGAGATGCAGACAGCACAGGTCCTGGCCATCTCCCAGTTATTTCACTCTATTTACTTCTAAACTATTAGCAAGTAGGTGGCGTCTTCAGCAACCTTTCAATATTTGATTGATACCATCCTGCTCGCAAAAATGATAATCGTAATCTGGCAGTTCATTTTCAGGGCAAGATTCCCTCAAAGGGTGGCAGAATTTAGTCCAGAGCACTTAAAGCAGGGAACAGTATCTGAGCCCTGGTAGTGAACCTTGGTGCATCTCCACACATGTCCCAGATCATTAGAGATCCCCGATCTTCAACATTACAGGTCTGACCTAAGACAGATAAAAACCTAAGCAGGTTCTGCTAAGCATGAGGCATCGTCCCAGCCCTCCAGCTTTTGCTAGGCTATCTCTGCCAAGACCATGGTCCTTGACCGTGAGTCCATAGACTCCAGAGCTTCTCAGCATACTCTAATGCATGGGGCCTTTTACACCACCTATTAAAGAACTCACTCTCACCATCTGATGAGTGGAGGCAAATCTCATGAGAAAGACTAGCCTGTAGTACAGCTATGGTCTGCTGAATGGCTGCCTCCCAACTCAAGCCTGTGCTTTGTGCTCAGACCATCCCCTAGAGCTGTAGCAAGACATTGGGAAGGAGACAGTAAGGTGCCCCTTGGAAAATATGCTGCTCGGGAGCACTCTCCCCTGGCCTGGGGCCTGCACCAGCTGTCTTCACCTCTATGCACAGCAGGTTTGGACAATGCTTGGAGGTCGTCCCCAAGGGCTGTGGCCCACGCACACAGGTGTTTCACCTCTTCCTCATGCCCTTCCACAGGGCTTCCTTTACCCAAACACAACCCATCTTTCAAAAAAGCAGGCTTTAACTTCATTGGGGGTGGGGACATCCTTTTGTCCCGCATTTGTACAGCCTCTGTGACAGTGGGGTGCCGGCGCCGTGCTCCGGTGCTTTACCGGGATGCAGATAGGTGCCCGAGGCTCAACCACCCACCTCTTCCACCATGCCCTTGTGCTGGCACAGAGTCACGACACACCTGAGCTCCCCAGGCGATGCTGAGCAAGCGGGACCCCTCCGCTCCAGGGAGGCGGCTCCCGGAAGCGCGGGCCAGCCAGCAGCCGGTGCCCCGGTGCGCCTCGGTACGCCACCGGTACGCTCCGGCCTCCCCGCTTCGCTCTGCCGCCGCAGTTCCGCCGGAGAAGGCGCCCGACGGCGAGAGCGGCAGCGGGGCAGCAGGAAGTGAGGGGCCGCTGCGCTCCGCTCGCCGTGTTATGCTAGAGCGCTCCCGCGGCAGGGGCCGACGAGAGGCGGGCGGCAGCTGCAGGAGCGCGGGCGGGGCGGCGGCTCCCCGGAGAGAGCGGCGGGGGGTCCCGGCGGCGGGCGGCGGGGGCAGGCTGGCGATGGAGGAAGGTGAGCGGAGCGGCGGCAGCGTGTCACCCTCATCCCTCTCCGCCGCGCCCGGCGGGGCCTCGGTGAGGGCACCTCAGGCCGCGGAGCTGGGAGTCGGGGGGGGGGGGGGGGGGGGGGAGCTCGGTGTGGCCCCAGCCGGTGCCTCGCTGTGATGGGGAACGGGCTCGGGCCGCTTCCCCCGGCGCGGTTCCTGGGAGGCTTGTGTCAGGTACGTGCCGGGGTAGCAGTGCACCTACGGAGGTGGAACACCCGCCTGCGGGACACGGAGTCGGCCTCCCCCGGCAGTGCTGGTCCCTCCGCCGCAGCGGCTGATGGCAGCGCCGGTCAGGCCGGAGCGATCCCTCCGGCGGCCCCTTGTCCCCGCTCCGGGCAGCCCGTCGTGTGCAGCACCGACCGGGGGAAAGCTGAGGTGGGGAGCCCAGAAACTCGGGGTCTGTTTCTGTTCCCTACCCCGGCACTGCCTCTGTGCAGAGTACCCGGGGCAGCATCCTTCTGCTTGCTCCGTGGATGCCTCTCTCGTTTCACTTTAGCCCTCTACACTACACTTTTTCTCCATGTCTCTGTTGTGCTTACCCCCTTTGTGGGCAGCAGCAGATGACACTTAGTTTTTTTCTTGGGGAAATCAGCAGAAACAGGACTCTAAGTAGGCACCCAGAAAAAATGCAAGAGTGAAAAAGTGCATGCGATGCTGTCCCATGGCTTACTGCAGCCTCCCAGCTGTTTTCAGTGGCGGTACTTTCTGAGCTGGACATGGTTTCTGTGTATTTAGTAGTCTTTGGTTGGTTGTTTCCCACAAGTGTGTCCATCTTCTCTTGAGTCTGTGTAAACTCCTCGTTTACATTCTTTGGGTAGGAGTGGTCTACATGAAGGTGATGTGTGATGAACTGGTTCCTTTTACCCTGACTCACTGGGTTGGTTTGATAACTTCTTTCTTGTTCCAGTATTAGAAAAGAAGGTGAATCACTGTGCACTGTACTAGCTTGTAGACCTCTGTCATGTTTCTGTTGACCATCCTCTTTTCCAGACTTAGGCATCCTCAACTTGCTTCCTTGTTCCTTGTATGGGAGCCATTGCACACCTTTGATCATTCTCATGGCCTTTCTCCAAGTGTTTCCCAGCACTATCTTATCCTTCTCTAGACGAGAGGACAAGAATTGCAGACAGTGCTCAATTTGCAGGTGAAAAATGGATTAATATAGTGGCACACAGGAGCAATGAGTTATGCTTTTCTGCAATAGATACACAAAAGTAAGTGGAATGCATGCTGTCTGAACAAGATTTGAGAAAGATGTACTGGGAATTTACAGGGAAATAGAAAGCAATCTTGGATGAAAAAGTGCATGCTGGATAGAGAGGTACTAGAAGCTGTGTCATCAGTTCAAAATCCCAGATTATTTTTGTCACCTTGTTTGACTTTCATTTCACCCCTTTTAAAGGATTCATAAAAGTGGGAACAGCCTTTTTGTTGTTTGAGGCAGCTGGGAATGAAACAAAAGTAACATACTTGGATCTTTCTTTGTTACTGCTCTGAGTGGGGGATCTATTGAGCAGTCTGCAAAACCGAGGTGAAGATCATTTGATGAATACGTGTAGTTGTTTCAGAATTAGAATTTTATATTGTTCTTTCTTTGGGAGTTTTCTGTTACTGCTGCTAACTCTAGACTTTGTAAGTGTGTTAAGCTTATCATACGGCTTACTTACCTGCCAGAAAAGCAAAAGAAATGCCTTTTCTTCCAGTGTTCTCACTGCAGTTGCTTTGGTTTTAACTAGAATGACAAGGCTGGAGAGTTGTCTCTAAGCACGTTTCTGCCCGTTCTGGTAATGTCGCATCTCAGCCCCTTTTTTTTGTGTGTGTGGTACAAGTGATTTTTAATGTCAGTGCACTTGGTATTTATGTTGGTGGTTAACTTCTTATGGATGACATGAAGAAACACTGGTGTGTATTTGATTTTGGATCGACATCATGATAAATGTGATACTGAACATCATAAATGTTTTGTTTAATATCTTTCCAGTTCTTGTCTTGTTACAGAAGGTAGACATCTTCATTCCATGAAAAATGTTATCCCTGTTATCTTGGTTTGCTCAGAATAATTTATAAATTGCTTTGTCAGTCCTGTTAAAACACAAATACAAGTGTCCTTGTACAAGCAGACACTACTTTAAGAGTTCATTTATATTACTCTAGTATCTAACTTTTAAATCTAATAGCTGTGAGTTAAGTATAAACTGACTTAGACTTGAAGTGATATACTATCCGAGTAACTGGAAGCTTTGTTGGGGGATGTGGAGATTGACACTTCAAGTTGGAAGTTGAATGGCTTTGTGAAAGAGCTGGTTTAAGTCCAGAGGAAATCAGTGGCCACAAAAGTTCAAGCAGTGCTGGATGGTAGGTCAAATTGGAGAGCTGAAACCTCTGGAGCACGAGTTACAGTTAAACTTTTTCGTCACACTTCAAAAATAACATTAGTGTTGTGCGATGTCATCTTTAATATAGTAATTATAACGGACTTTTTGCAGTGAGTCTTTCTGTATGGAGCCTTGCACTCTGTGAATTACTTTCATTGCCTTTCAGACTGTGAAAGAAATGGGCCAGAGCTTCAAACTGCTGTTGTTTAGAGAAAACAGAAGTGGAAGAAGCCCTCAGTCTTGTGATGTGATCTATGTGGCCTAGCAGCCTAGGTTTTTTAGTTATACATTAGGCTAAAAGTTCTTAAATCTGCTTAGTTCCAATAGATCTGAAAGTAGGAAAAAAGCGGTATTATATTTGCTTTATAAATGGCAGCTCAATTGAAAAGTAATAGACTAGTCCAATTTTTGTAATTATTTTGTAATTATTATTATGTAATTAAAGTAATGCACTTAGTACACTTAGTACTATAGCAACGGAAAACCACGATGAGAGTAGAATAGAATTGGCGTAAATTTCTCCCAGCGTCTGTATCAACTTGTCTAAGCTAATACTTTCCTTCATTTGTGTAATACATTCACCATAAAATAAACCAGTTAGCTTCCAGTTTGGTTTCAGAGCATGGCCTCGAGAGAATACTATTGGAATTTCTAAGGAATAATGTAGACATTGATTTCTGTGTTGTTATATTGTTACTTCAGTTAGGCACGTGACACGTATTTGACAAAAAAGAGTCAAAGTATCTGCTGTGGGATTGAATCAGGAGCAATAACTGGCTATTACCTGCTGCTGTGCGGATCTCTGAGTGTGATTTTAGGTATTGCGTTGCAATAACTTAAAAACATGTCTTCAGGGGCAGCAGACCTGCGACAGAGAAAGAAGCAAAACTGCACAGAATCTGACAAAATGGCTCCAGAGGAGAGAAACAAAGAAAACTCAAAGCTGGGAAGGTTGCCAAAATGTAAGCTACAGAATTTTTAGCCAACTTCTGATTTTTTCTTTTCATTATTCTTTTACATTTTATGGGAAGATATTTGTAGCACAGTAATTCATAACAGACTTGTTTTGAATTAGTTTTTTCAATGTTTCAAGAAAAAACAGGAATGCATATTAGAATTCTTTAATAATGACAGTTTATGTATTGCAGAGTAGGATGGTAGTCCTGGATTGTTTCGGGTTGGGTGGGGTAGAAGAAGGGGGAAAGGCAAAGGGGTTAGGAGTCTTACCGTTGCTTCTATTTGAGTACAAATTGTGCCTGGAATGATACTTTGGTTGGAAAGCTGAAACCTGAAGTAATGGTGTTGAAACACAAACAGACAAAAAAAAGTCCGTACAGCTTTTCAAGAAGCAGAACTAAAACCAGGCGTAACTTTAGGCAAGTGCTCACCAAGCAACCAAAAACTTTTATGTTAGAAGTGCATACTAACTTGACGGAGCTACAGGTGAAATAGACATTCATTGAATGAGTTTGGTAAAATTCAGATTAGGTTCTTTCTCTTATTTAAAAACAGAATAGAAAATAGAATGTTTCACTGTTGATGTTAATGTCTTTAAGAAGTTTGTGGTATTTTGGGTAAAATCTAAAGTTTGCTCCTTTTATTTGGAACAATTGCTTCTTGGAATTCACTTGTAAATAAAGTTAACTGGAATGGAGAGAAATTTGCAGGATAGCATGTAAGCATTTTATCTGAGAGTCCTATGAAGGAATGGTAACAACGGGGAAAGAAAACTCTGCAGGGCAGAAATAACAAACTGATTCTTGATGTATCTGTGCTGCTGCTGGTGGTGCAATAATTCTCATGCCAGTAAGTTTATTTGATGTTCAGAAATGGCTCATATTCAGGGCACACTGTTTGCTTCTAAATCCTCTGGACTATTTTAGCTTTTTCACTGTCCCTTTTCAGATATGTTAATTCAGCGATTTGCGAAACTTTTCTTTGGCTGTCTTGCGGCAGTTACTAGTGGGATGATGTATGCTGTGTACCTCTCAACCTATCACGAACGGAAATTCTGGTTTTCCAGCAGGCAGGTAAAAAAAATTGTTAAACTACTGAAACAAAAGCCAGATTGTATCCTTGAAATCAAAGCTGAGCCGTGTTGGCTTGGAACTACTTGCTAGCAGAATCAGGCCTCTGTCTTTGATACGGTCTCCTTTTTTGTTTTCTTTCTTTGCTGTATCATTGAAATACCTGTTTAAAATCTGGAAAAAAAAAACATGAAACATGCTGGGATTATATAAACTAAACAACATGAATGTATGGGGTTTTTTGGGCTTTTTTTTAAAGAACTATATTATTTAGTGAAGTATGGAAAGTGGAATGAAATTCAGGTTTGTGATATGAAAGGATCCTGTGGGTCTTGTGCTTACAATGTGGTTTTGAGTTGCTCTGATTCCAAGCATGTTTGCAAAGTTACAGAGAGCATTATGTATCTGACAGAGGTGCTGTGAAGATTAATGTTTTGTGGAATACTTTGAAGATGTGCAGTGGAGTCGTAACCATGTTCTGTGTTACAAAACCAGTCTATCTGAAAATATATAGTCTCCTATGGGAAGAGATTGCAGGAGGTGAATATATATATGTTTTTTTTTCCCTAGGAACTTGAACGAGAAATTACATTTCAGGGTGACAGCGCCATTTATTACTCATTCTATAAAGAACTGCTAAAGGCTCCTTCCTTTGAAAGAGGTACAAAACCTGTTTGTTTTATTACCCTTGAAAAGTCCTGTTCCTTTCAGAGGCAGTAAAAACTCCTGCAGACGGGGGAGACTTTTATGCTTTTAATAGGTGTACCAGTCAGATTAATTCAGAACTGCATGCTGTCCTAACTTTTCAGTGCCTTTTAAAAGACAATACATATCTATCCTGTATTCCAGCAGATGGCCTTTAATCAGTGTTCTGGCATAGGATTAATATTACTCCATACAGAAGTTATCGTTGGGTTTGCCTATGCTACATAGTGGATTTTCTGCAGTGTAAACATGATTTATGTTTAATTTGGAAAGGCAGTGGAAATTACTGTTTTCCATCCTCTGTCAGAAGATGGAACAGTTTCTGTCAAGAGTTGATCTACTCCATCCTGTCCTTGCCAGAGTTCTCTGCTCCTGTCAGCTGTGATGAGTAGACGGTGATGAGCACTAAGAGATGGGGACAGAAACCAAAAGGAAAGGGAACAAACTTGGTGGTGATGGTCTCTCCTTCCTTTGCTCTCGTTCTTTCTGTCCTGCACTGGCTCTGGATCTCACAGACCCTAGTTGCCTAAACCAGCAGAAAACTAAAGCATTGAAAAGACAATGGAACACTTTCATGCTGGTTTAGTGAGTTCAGAAGGGCACCAGGGCTAGCATGGGGAAAAGGCAGGAAAGAAGAGGGAGTGAACAGCCCTGTCTCGACTTGGTCAGTTGTTGATTCAGCTCAGTCCCTCAAGAAACCTCATCTGAAGTGAGTTGAACTTTTTAGGTAGAATTTTATTGTTTGAACAGTTTCCCAGCTGATGTAAAGCATGTCAGCAGTATATAGTAAGTCTTTGGTACAGTCAGTTCCTCATTATTTGGGGAGATTACCCATGCTGTGAATAGATGGACTGCCTCATTCAGGCATGCTGCCTCTGCAAACAGGTAGACTCATGTACTAGGTATTATGGGAACAGTTTTCAAAGGTGTTTTATAGCTGTGCTGAACACACTTTTAAGTCCTGCAAGACCTGGTTTGGCCTGCAGAGAACCAGCTGCAGGCCACATACCAGACATGCTCAGAGCTGGAAACAGTTATCTTGTTTGGCTGTTCCATTGATGTTGGGTTTTTGTATGTCATGTCCCACCCCCCAGTTTGGATTAATTTTTCTCTTGCCTCTACTGTCCTAAGTAATGGTAAGTCTTTTATTTAATTATAGTGTTTCAGAATGATGTATCCTTCAAGTCTGCCAGCTTCAATTTCATCTCAATCCCATACAAAGGTGTATTGTGTTTAGTGATTCTTAGAAGTCTCAGAAACGTGGGGCTGAAAAGGGTGACAAGGCCATCATATCTGACCTTTTTGTGGAGACAGGTTTAATACATCCTGCTCATCCCTGTTAGCTCTTTGTCTCACTTCTTAAGAACCTCCTGTGAAGGCGATCTTCACAAGTAGGTAGGTGGTTCCTGGGCTGTATCTGTACGTTACTGAAAAGACTGGTTAACTTCAGCTGGTTAGTTTTGGGTCTATTTAAAGACTAAATCAGAAAATGATAACAACTTTGTTGCTATGTCAGTAGGGTGGAATGGCATCTGGCACAGAAATTTCTCCTTCCTTTAAAATTATGAGAACTGAATCAGTCAGTAGCTTTAATAATTGAATGTTTCCCCCACCTGTGAGTACATTTTCCCCCTTTTTAAGAGCAGCAATAGTAAGTGATTCCAAGTGTAATACATTATTTTTTTGTCTATAGGTGTTTATGAGTTGACACACAACAATAAGACAATATCACTGAAGACGATAAATGCAGTCCAGCAAATGACTTTGTACCCAGAGTTGATTGCCAGTGTTTTATATCAAGCATCTGGTAGCGAAGTATGTGTATTTCTCCTTCTTTTTGGGCTTTCCTTATGGTTGTGTATGTATGAGACTTTCTATGCTGTATACAGTAAAAACATGCCATTTTTGTTGAGTGAATTGGGCTAAGCCTCTCACTAGGTCCAGTGTCTCCTCAATTCTGATTAGTCTCTGGCGTAAGATTTTATGGGTTTATATGCACTAAACTTTTCTGTCTGTTACTCTTTACTTCTGCAAACCACTCAGAAATGTGGAGAGTATCTGTGCTATCCATTAAAAACAGGAAAGTTAGCTCCTTTGGAGTATGAAGTCTGTTATAGTGGTACCCGTCTCTGCCTATTCCTATATAGGTAAAAGCAGAAAAAAATTCCGGAGATAAATGTTTTGTCTCTTTCTGCTCTGCTCAGGCTTTGTTCTCCTTACCCCGCATACCTATGTCCTCTCTCATTAATGTTTCTTTTTTATTATCTATTTATTTTGGAACCTTTTTTGCCCACATCTTTGCTTCACCAAGTTCCTCCCCTACATAACTTCTTCCAATAATCCTGTGAACTTTATATCTCACTGCAGTATAGATTTATTAAATCTGACACATACAGTGTTCATGCTAAAGCAAATACAGAAATGATGGCACTAGCAGGATGAGTCCTGAAGTGCTTTTAATTCATACTGCTTTGTTCTCCCTCAGCCCAAAATAAAAGCATGCTCAGAACTTTTCTAGAATAGGGGCCATCTCTTACCTGTTTGTAAAGCACCTAGCACACTGTTAGCAGTATGCAAATAGTAAACAGTAATTATTTCCAGCTTCAGCTCAGTTGCCGCTATGTCTCTTCGTTTTTATTTGTAATTTCAGGAAGTTATTGAACCAGTGTATTTCTACATTGGTATAGTTTTTGGACTGCAGGGAATTTATGTGACTGCATTGTTTGTAACCAGTTGGGTTATGAGTGGGACTTGGCTGGCAGGAATGCTGACTGTAGCATGGTTCATTATTAACAGGTAAGAAAAACATCTTTATACAATCTAGTTTGTCAATAAGGCGTTTTAAAATACTAGAGTGAATTGAAATGCTTTCTATTAAACTGTGTGTTCTCATTGTGAGAGCAAGCTTTTGTGCTGAATACCAAACATCTCCCAGAGATGCACTGATTTTCATGGTACTTTTATTAATGGAAAGGCCTCCTGTTACCCAAACCAACCATGCTGCCAGTTGAACTGATTTTATACGTGTTTGTGAATACAGGAGTATTCTCACACAATTCCATTTTGCAGAAACATTCCTCAGAAAGTTTTGTTTTGTGCTGGTGAAGAATGAAAACAAATTTCTGAAGTTGCTGTAAAACAGAATTGCTCTCTGTGGTCAACTCTAAATATTGTGACTGTTGCTGCTTAGAAGGAAATGATCAAGGGCATTTTTCTTGTAAAGAGTCTTTGATATGTTTTTTTTTGTTTTTATCTGCTTTTTGTAGTGGGTTTCTGTGCAGAATGGAATCTTAGAATCTCTTGGTCTCAAGAGTTTTGATTTTATTTTAAAACATTTCACTTGCAAGAAAATGTCCCTTCTCTTATGAAACACTGCAATAATAGAGAGCCTCATTTGGGCAATGAGAGCTTGTGTTCAGGCTCCTGGTCTGTCACAAAGTAACTCTGGGGCTCTCTGTGAATTTGAGAGCACTTGAAAGAAAAGATCTACGGAGGAGCAACCTTTAAAAGTTGAACTGTTGGAAAGCATCTTTCAGTAGTGTGAAGTCATTATGACCGAATCTGTGGTCAGTAGGTAAGAATACTGTTCATCAAGCTAATGTGAACAGTGGAAAGAAGGCAAAATGGTGAATAAATCTGTATTTTTTTTTTAACAAGAAAGAAGATTAAACAGTATTAACAAATTGAAAGGTCTAGTAGTTAAGAAAGCTCCAAATACGCCTCTGTAAGAGGCTTCAGAGGTAAAAATGAAAGGTGATGCTTTCAAATACCTAAATGATAAAGGAGCTTGAGGCTCCTTTTAAAAAGCATAGTAGAAACAAAGACTGTGTACTTCTGAAACGGATACCTTTGATCACATTTGAAAGTATGACTTGTGCTTCTAAGTCACTTTAGCACTTTTTAAAACTTTCTCCTACAGCTCAAATTGTGCAGATACAGTCAAGTCGTTCCATGAGAAGACCCTGCATGCTCCCCATCCATCTTTAATCTCTTGTTTTGCTGGGCAGAATTTTCCCTGTAAACAGGGTATCTTCTGGTGCTGCTACTATAAGGGAGCACTGCTTTGGATTCTAAGTATGTTGTGCTCGACCACCTAAATAATTTACTTAAAACCTATTGTATGAGATCAGAAGGGAAACCTTCTCTCTCAGCTATGAGCTGATTTTCACTGTTATGTGAAAGCTGCTGGTTCAGTAGTGGTTCCCTGCCTATGGACATAAGACCATTTAGCACTGCTTGCGGCCGCAGGAGGCTTTGTCGTCACAGTGCAGGTTGGCAGGATCAGCACATGATGTGTCCAGCTCACAGAGTGTTGTGGTGGGTCAGAAAAGGCTGGAGGCAGATGCTTTCTGGCTACAGTCCTACAAACACCACGTAATAAGGAGACCTGCTGAATAAATGAGTAGAGTTTGGACCTTCCAACTGATACTGAATTTGTGACCTGTGTCAGCAGTAAAATTGTGTCAGTATTACTTGACACCTAATACAGGAATAGTTTGCTTGCAAGGCCACACTGATAACTGGAAGTGACATTTAGGCTTTCCTTGATATTTTTATTCCATAAATATTTTAATAATTTTGTTTGTACTTTGTTCTAGGACAGATACAACAAGAATTGATTACTCCATACCCTCAAGGGAAAACTGGGCTTTGCCATATTTTGCATGTCAAGTAGCAGCTCTCACAGGCTATTTAAAAAAAAACCTAAATTGTTCTGCTGAGGTAAAGCAAAGTTAATTTCTTAATAAAGAGTTGCTGTAGAACTGTGTTCTAGTTACCTTTGTCACTATTGCCCTACTAGGCAGAAAACAGTAGGTGTTTTATTTGTTCTTTTCAAAACAGCCACTTGGATTTCACCTAGGCGGGTGCAGTTTTTGCTAATCTGCTCTTACCCTGCCCTATTATGCCCCCATGAGGGATCAGAGAGAACAGTGCAGTGATGAGCTGTTTCAAATAAACTGATGCAGTTTTTCTCACTATGTAGACTATTTTGTTGCTCTTCCTGTTCCTCAGAGAAGATGGTGGGAATTTCCTTTTCCTGTCTCTCTGTCAAAAATGTTTCTTCTGATTGGCTTGAAATATATTTGAATGTTTCAGTAGGTACTTGTTTCCATCTGAGAACGTTACATACATCTGCAGTTAGTATTTTAATTATTTCCTAAATTAATTAATTTCCATAGATTCTGTTTTAATGACCTCTTATTTACTTAGTAACAGAGATGCAATATTTAGTAACAGAGATGCATTATGAAATTAATGCTGGTTTTGTTTTTCTCTTTTTTTCTCTAGAAGTTTTGTTACCTTTTGGTGAGTGCTTCAACATACACCTTCGTGATGATGTGGGAATACAGCCATTATCTCCTGTTTGTCCAGGCTGTTTCTCTTTTTCTGCTAGACAGCTTTGCCCTGGCACAGACAGAAAAGGTATTAGAACTCTTAAACTTACTGATAGCTGGGGAGTTAAATACAGCCTCAGAGATGCCTACCATAAATACTGCTCAGGAGCTCCAAAGGACACAGACTGAGTGGTGCCTTGGTGTCTTGCAGCCTTGGTCCAGCTGATGTGCATGTCATGTCCATCAGAAGTATACAATGGCTTCAAACTTAACTGTCTTTTGGACTACTATGTTTAGGACAGTTTTCCTAACAAAAGGGGTCAGAAGCTAAACAAAGACCTGGAACATCCTTGGAAAGCTGAAAAAGTGATGATAGTCATGCATCCTTCTTGGCCAGCTGCCTCTTATTTTCTTTCCTATTCACACTAGTGTGGGGCTGACCAAAATCTGTTCTGTTGGCTCTGTACAGTTACAGGGCTCATTTTCATCCTGAGTCACCCACCCTGTATTGATTTAGCCACTAAATAGTCTAGACAGATGCTGAAGGCAAATTGCTTTTTCAGTACAAGAAAGTATTTGAATTTATTCTGTAAAATCATTCTTAGAAATGTTGCAACAATGAGGCAATTTTACTCTGCCTGTTGCAATGGTGTATCTGCTACTTTGTATATGTGTGCCTTCTAGTTTTATTAGGTGTAACTTCTGTTTCAAACTGCATGCAATTCTGACTCATCACCTCCTATTTCAGTTGCTTTTTCCTGTTCTTCATCATTTTGAAATGTTTGATCTATTTTAGTCCAAAGCAAGCTCCTTAAAATATCATGGAGAAGATGGGTGTTTTGGTAAAAGTAAAGAACCGAGTAGGAAGGTTTGTAAGATCTGCTTATTAATTAGTAAATAATGAAGTATCAGTAACAGTCTGTGTATTCCTGAGAAAGGTTGAAGTAACAGTTTATTGTGAAGGCAAGGGAAGTGCATGTTTATGGTAGTCATCTCTCACACAAATTACATGTTCATACCATTGCTTTGTGGTTACTGCTTCATTTCTCATTGCAGTGAAGTGTTACAGAATGGGGAGACCTTGTAAAATAACTATCACTTTGGGCATTTTTACAGAATTCTTGTGAAGTAATTGTGCCCTAGTGACTGAAGCTGACCAGGATCATTTTGATGTGAAATGCTTTCCAGAGCCAAACAGTACCCTGCTAGATTCATGAGTTGGAAGATAGGCATCCATTAATCCCCAATTAACAGAGGAATGAAGTGACCTATCTACTGCTCTAAAAACCAAGACATATATCTACTGTTATTTTGTTTCTTCAACAGGTGCATGAAGTATACAAAATCTACTTGTTTTCTCTCTGCGTGGGATACCTCTTGCAGTTTGAAAATTCAGCCTTACTAGTGTCACCATTACTGAGTCTTGTAGCAGCTTTAATGCTCTCTAAATGCCTTCAGGTAACTGGACTCTCCTCTAACTCTGAGTGTAGCTTTTATTATTTAAACTGAACTCTAAATGATTATGGCATTCTCAAAATATTTTTACAGATGAATATGAAAAAAGGTACATTTATGTCAAGATTGCTGAAAATAATGTACATTTATTTGGTACTCATGATAACAGTGACACTAAACTTCTTACTAAAGGTAAGATTCCTCTGTAAAAAAAGGGATTTTAATTGTCAAGATCTAAATGGAAAGTTGCAGATGTATCTTGGAAAAATCTTTTTGAAGTGTTTCTTATCTTACTGATCTGAGAGGTCATAGAATCATAGAATCATAGAATAGTTAGGGTTGGAAAGGACCTTAAGATCATCTAATTCCAACCCCCCTGCCGTGAGCAGGGACACCTTACACTAAATCATATCACCCAAGGCCTCGTCCAACCTGGCCTTGAACACTGCCAGGGATGGAGCATTCACAACCTCCCTGGGCAACCCATTCCAGAGACTGTAGTGACAGGACAAGGGGTAACGGATTAAAACTTAAACAGGGGAAGTTTAGATTGGATATAAGAAGGAAATTCTTTCCTGTTAGGGTGGTCATAGCTTAATTCATAGCAAATTGGAGTACTAAAATGTGTCATTTTGTAGCTATATAAAAGGTCTTTATCTAAGAACTGAAGCAGCTGTTTTTTGTTGGGGTTTTGGTCTTTTGTTGAGATCACAGCACAGTATAGAAATAATTCTTTAAATCACACTTTAGCTATTTCATAAATGTGGTTTTTGTCATATCTTGGATGGCATCTACAAACTAGTCTGAATATTAAAACAGTATTCTTGTGCACAGACAAGACCTAGTAGCCAGGAGCAGGTATGTGTAGGTAGGTGTTAATTTCCAATAAAATTTCAACTAGAATATGTGAGCAGAGACTTTTGCTTGGTGCAGCTAGAGGCTGAGATTACACAATGGGATTTTAGCCTGGTCTTGTATTTTGGTTAGCAACTCCCTCTTCCTGGCTTTAGTCTTTTACATAATTTATTGTGCTCTTCCTCTGTATCTCAAAGTTACCCCAAATGTGTTAGTTGACAGTGTCAGTTTAAAAGTAAAGAAGCGAGTGAACCCAAAAAAATCTGAGAGAATGCTCAGATATGGTTGTTTTCTTGCGCCACCCAGACTGGCTAGCCTTGCTATGTCTCCAGAAAAATAAAATCTAACCTTGAAAAACAGGGGTTAAATAACATGGACGCTACACAGAACCTTTGGCTGCTCAAGCAATTTATGTGAAGATTACAAATGCTCATAACTCTTGCGAGACTGGAGTGCTATTGTTTAGTGGAGCCAAACACAATGTTCTTTGGCTAACTTGGGTATAAGTCAATGTCTGTATTTCATGATCCTTTTTACACTGCTCAGTAGTCTTTTGACAACTTATTGACAGCTTTTCACTTGCCCTTCTCTTGAGGTGCATGGATGAAATGGAGTCATACTCTCAAGGAAACCCTAAAGGTAGATTTATTTAAGTGATGATTCACAAAACTGTACCAGTACCTTAACTGGCACACTTAATCCAATCTGTTAGTTTTAACTAAATCTTGAATAGTTGTTTGTTCCCTGACATTTTGTAATCTGAATGAAGTGACTGCATGAAGGCTGCTTCCAGCACTTGGTAAGACTTTTTCTCTGCTAAATTCATTTTCAGATGTTTGTTCCTCATAAAGAAAACGAGCATTTGCTGAAGTTCATTGAAGTAAAACTTGGCTTAAACACAACTAAGTAAGATTTTTAAACTCTTTGTACCTTGTAAGATATCCAAACTTTTGAAACTGCTCTGAGAAGTGTAAATTTTCAGTGGCTTCTGAGAATTTTGTGAGGAGTGAAGGAAATAGTTTCTGTTTGTCACTTGGTTTTAAAATTGAATCAACAAAAAATGCATGTACAGAATTTACTTAGGATTTTGAGGTTGCTGAAGCACCCCAATATTTTTCATACCTTGGGTTGAAAGCATTTCATAAATTTTTGTTTTCTTTTGATGCTAAAGAGCAAAAGGTTTTTATAACCTGCCTAGTGTTTCTAATAAGACTTGAAATAAAAGATAACAGGGTAAAGGTGGTGGTAGTAACTTTTCATAGCCTGGAAAAGAAAGGGCTCTGAAAAGTTATGAACTATCAAGCTATCTTAAGACAGGGTTTGGTTATGAGGGTTTATTTTTAGTTTTGTAAGAATAACACCTCCAACTCCCTCCCCTCATATATTTTGGAAGAAATTAGGACAAGGGACAACTTAGAGGGAATTGTATTCTAAGAAAAACTGTTTGCAACTCATCTGTAAGAGTTGAGTGTTGGTCTACAAGAAGATGTCATGGCTGCAGATTTTTTGGGGCACTTCAAATGGAGTATTGGTAAGGACTGAGGCACCTCCTGGACCCAAGCCAAGACTTGCAATTCTGTGCAGGAACTGGGACTCTCTTCTGCGAGCTGCATCTCTTACAAAACTACTTCACAGCCTTTCAGGGGAAGAAGTGGAAAATGGCATCACACACAATTGGAATTGTTGGGGAATTTTTGGAAGACAATATGTAATGTCATTGACTAACACACATTGTTTAACACACAAACATGCATGTTCTTAAGTGTTTTGCAAGAAAAGAAAGGACTGCTTCTGCTCAGGATTTCAGTTTATTCAGCTACCAGGTATTATGGATTTTATTGTTTCCCCCCCAGGGATTTGCTACATGTTGTTTTCCAGGCTGTCAAACTCTTCAATGAAGCCAGTGATTGAGGCAAACTGCGTGCATCTACGCCTAGAAAATTGTTTAACTGGGGGTTTGAATTGTGGTTTGCAGCACAAGAGCTTCAAGATCTGTCTTTTAAGGCCAGTTTGGACATGCCCGGCTGTTAATCTTTAAACTGGTTCTGTCTAATTGAAAGTGGTTCAGTTCTCTAGTCTTCCTTTCAGGGAAAAGAAAAAGAAAACAGGGAGGAAAGAAAACAAAGTAAGACAAGAATGCATTCACAGCATCACATGCTGCACCAGTTTCCAATGACAATAAACACTGATAGTGCTTCTTGGCAGAATATATAATCTTTCTGCTCATTAATTGGAAAAGAAGAATGATCGAGTGGGTTCAGCTGCAGAACTAGAATTTCAGCATTAAGGATTCTATTCTTGGCAGTGCCTTAGGTTTGTTTGTGATCTCAGATGACCACTTTCCCTTCATCTCCCTGTTTGGAATGAGGACAAGCATACCTTCTTGCATCAATATCTCTAAAATCGTAATCCACTGCGACAACAAAGTGCTTTGTGGTCCCCATAATGGAGTTACATGGGAGGCCAGGTTTTTATGATATAAAAGAGTTGTAGTCTGATCTCTTCAGATCACAGACTCTTTTTTTTTGGAAGATGAGCTTTTGTCAGTGTCATGGTTTAAGTTACTCTGAAGAGTACTTGCAAAGCAGTTTCAATTTATAAGAAGATACTTTCAGAGATGAATTTCAGATAGTTTCCTATGACATGACTAGGTTAAGCTGTGAATGGTTTTGTGCTGGGTTATTTTTCTAATCTGTGGGGTATTGCTATTGTTTTTAATGGGATGTTTTTGCCTTACTAGGAATTTTACAATGAATTGGCTCCTTTGTCAAGAATCTCTTCAGGCACCCTCCCAAGACTTTTTTTTGCGACTAACACAGTCATCACTGTTGCCTTTCTATATTTTAGTATTAATTATCTGCCTTTTTTCTGTAACTCAGGTCATTTTTAGGAGAATTTGGTAAGTAACTTATTTATACTGAAAAATACAAAGTTTAAAATAAGAGGTTCATGGATGTCTGAGTGAATGGTCATCATATTTGTGGCTACAAAGTTAGCTGCTCCCATTGAACCTGACAGGGTGTAAGCACCAGGAGAAAGACTCACCAGAGGTTTCTGAAGAAAGTCCTTTAGTGAGGAGCTTCTTCCTCACTTCCCTGCAGTCAGGACAGGGAGCTGTCGGTTTGTTTCCCCCCAGGTGCAATATCTGCAGAGCTCTCACTAATGTTCAGTGACATATTTGTCTCTTCCAGTCTGAGGGAGAAAGATATTTTTCCACTTCCAACAGCAAAGTTATCTGATTATTGCAAAAGAATTTGTTTCTCTGGTTTGGGGGTTTTATTGTTTTTTTTTTTGAAGTTAACACAAAATGAAGGATGACACGGGTGGAGTTGTGAGGAATTCAGATTACTAATGCTTCACCTTTTTTTAAACTCTTGTTTACTGTGATAAGGTCCATCAGCCTTTGTTGCTTAGAACAGAGCTGAAGTGAAACTGAGTCAATTATTTTTAGCTTCACAGTGATTCACAGTTCCCTTGAGAAAAGGTGTAGTGGAGCTGTCTGTTTACAGACTAAGAATAGCAGCACTATATCCTAGTGTAACTTGTCTTGGAAACTCAATAGCTGGGGAATTATCTCTTCCTGGCAGAAGATGAACGGTGTAACTGCTCAAGTATTAAGGCAAATTTCTCACTTGTCTGCAGCAAAAATCAATAGATTTTCTCAAGGATCAAGTTTTCTAATAGATAAAGATTATACTGCTATAAATGAAAATGTTTGTCGGGTTGGATGTGTGATAGCATATTCATAACAACGAAACAAACTTTGGATTTTTTGCTAGTAGCTGAAATAGCTGTTTACTGTTTTGTAATGAGCAGGGACTCCAGTATGTCCATCAGCTTTTTGAAAAAAGCTTAAAATAAACCTTTTCCCCTCTTATTTCCATTTGTTGTGAGGAAGTTTATTATAAAATTGTAACCTGAAATCACATCATGGTAGCATAAAATGTTATTTATTGTGTGCCTTGCTACCTTCTCTGTAGAAGAACATTTGTTGTAAGATTTTGGTTATTATTTTTATTTATACTATATAACTAGAATTTATTACTATGTGAGTAAAAGCAGGTTTTGTTGTCTTACTTTGCCATAAAGTGGTATACATATTCTCTACACATTGTACAGGCTCCATAATTCTTCACCAACCTTATGATATGAAGAAACTTAGAACACATGTACAGCATGCTTCATCTAAATGTTTGTGGAGTGTGCATGCTCTTAAATTAGACTGTCTCTTGGTGCTAAATTGCCTTAAAATAAGATTTATGGTCATGGGCAATGATCCTATTGTATTAATTCACAGCTGTTGCTCCAGAGAGGTTATAGTCTAAAACAAGGGACAGAGGGTACTGATGGATCACTGATGAAGTACAAGAATCAAATAAGCAGTGCAACAGTATTGTATGATATGACATAGAATGATCTCAATGTACTGCTGACTTAAAGGTCATAAAAGTATTTTTATTGGCACCTCTGCCTGAGATAATGTCTGAATTAAGTGATGTTTCATTTTCTCCAACTGCAGTGGTGAACCACTGAAAGAGACAGTTAAACTTGAGGATGGTCGAATTGGAGAGAGGCCAGAAATAGTTTATCATGTAATTCACACAATTTTACTTGGTTGTCTAGCGATGTGTTTGGAAGGGTAAGTCTCATTTTGATGTATCTCTTTTGACAGCAACAGGGTTTCTAACTAGACATGATTCACCTTCACTCCTTTTCAGAAACATATTTGGCATATAGTGGTACTATATGGTAGTTAGTAGGGGAGAGAGCAAAGATCATTTTGACTATAAGTGGGATACAGGTATATGGTGAATTGTGCTTGGTCTCTTTAACTTGTTTTCCAAGCTTTAATGCTGCCAAAATCTGAGGCATTAATTGAAGCAAATCTTAATAACTTTCTTTATAGTACTTAAATGTAGAACTGTGCTCTGTAATTCTTTTAATATTGTATTCTAGCAAGGTGTTGTGTAGTGTTTTGATGAACAGTCTATGTTCTGGAATATTGGGACATGAAAGATTTCTTATCCGTCTTCTTGAGTCTAAGCTAGCGTGAAGAATACTTTTGCTTAACATGTTAAAGTAGTAACAAAATTATTTTCAAAGGTACTGTGTTACTCCTTAAAGCTACAGAAGCTAATATTTGGAAAACATAATTGTTCTAATCTTGGCTTTCAGCTAAATCAGCTTAAAGGTGGCAGACTTGTATTATGCTCATTGTGAATATTCACGAATTCTTTAAGTGAGCAGACTGTTGTGTCACCATGTAGTTGTTTTAACTTGACTGGTCTGTTGCTAAGAGTCAGACAATACCAGCAAATCATAAATGGTTTATGAAATATTTTCCTTTCCTTTCTTCAGGAAATCCCTTATAGTACAATTTCTGTACAGCTTTCTTGAATAGCTGGGTTTTATCCTTCCTTGGCTGGAAAATTGCAACAGCCAAGTGTCTTTACAAGTGTCTCTGGTTTTCTTCCATTCTCCCCTGAACTCTGAATAATTTTGTCATCTTTTACCTTGGCTCTTGCTCCTGCATCTCACAGCAGGTAATCAGGTTCCTGCTCTTCTGCTAGAGAGTTCCTTGGTTTACCCTTCCGTGCCATCAAATTTGATCTCGGATTGCTTGAACATCTAGACTGTGTTTGAAGTGAAAAACAACTGAATGTTTGTATAAATAGCTTGAATACAGAGACATGTGCAGAGTCCCAGCTAAGTTATTGCAGTGTTTTTCAGAATGAAGTATTTATGGACGCCGTATGTTTGCATGCTTGCTGCATTTGGTGTGTGCTCTCCTGAACTTTGGATGACACTTTTCAAGTGGCTTCGACTGAAAGCTGTCCACCCAATATTGCTGGTGAGTTGCTGTTGCCAATGTCTTGGGAATTACAGCTAGTGAGCATATAACTTTTCCAGTCACAGCTACCTAAGACCTATAGATGAACCCAGCAAAAGAGCATGTAGTTCTGTGAGCAGTAGATCTCATATGGTCTGCTTTTCTTTGTCTTCTGTTCTTAATATCACACTTCACATGTTCTCTGGTACCTGATAACAAAGTTGGGTTCACACTACAGCTTTTCCTCATAAGAAGCAAGGCTGTCTTCATATCTCTTTCACTTACCTGTTTAATTTCTTTTAACAAACGTTTGAGACCTCAAGCTCTCTGTCGTACTTAGTTGAGATTGGCCAAGAAAGGCAATTACTTCCTAAATTACTTTTTAGGAGTAATGTGGGAGAAAAAGTACAGGCATGCAGGCAAGCATTGATATAAGCCCTTTTCCACTAGGAAATGAGTCAAAAAATCTGGTAGTTAGGTGTATTTAATGGCTGAGAGTAAAGCTGCTTCATAAGAACTGGTAAGTGGGATTACTTTGCATAGATTTGTTTATGTGTGGCCATTATAGAGAAGTGTCTACTTCCAACCCTAGCTTTATTCTTAATATGTCAACAGTTGCTTTGTGTAATTTTTAGCAGCTTTGTGCATTTGTTTTATTAATAAAATAAGGATATTACCTTAATTTTAAGAGGCTAATAGGAATAAATACTTAAACAGAGATTCACTGTGTCACTTGTGAAAATGCCATACACTGTTATATCAGAAACATTGACAGTGTTCTTCCAATAAAGAAGCAGCAATATGTCCATGTACGTGGTAAACACATTCTTCTATATACAGTATGCTTTCTGCTATATAGACCTGCTTTTTTACTGTAGTAGATATGTTAATGGCTTATTATCAAGAGAATGCCTTGTCTGCATTCCTTACTGAATGTTTCCTATACCATGCAAGTTATTTTCTCCTTTTTGCAAAGCTGAAGAATGAGTTTCTGGGCTTTGTGTATTAATATTGTTAATGTGAACGAAAGCATCAACAAGATCAGAGGTTTGAAATACTTGTTTCATACTTTTTTCCTTTTGCAGATTCTCTCACTGCATTAATATGTTAGGTGTTTGCTTTCTTCTGTTCCCTACATCATGTGCATGTTGTGTCATTGTTATTTGAGTAGTAATTGACCCTCCCCAGTATTGATGGGTCAAAGTTATTGTGGGTCATAGAATCATAGAATAGTTTGGTTGGAAAGGACCTTAAGATCATCTAGTTCCAACCCTCCTGCCATGGGCAGGGGTCAAATAAATTCTCCCATGCTAAATTGTGCAAATTCTTGTGTGTAAAGAGTTTTTTGCCTCTTAGAAAACCACAGTTTCACCTGCTGTCACTCAAAGGTTTTGGCATATATATGGCTTACTGTATGAGCGGAATCAACAAATAGTCCAAGGTTGGAGAATGATGCATAATCCATTTCTTCTAACATGTATTTTCTAGGCTCTTATTCTGAGTATGGCAGTTCCCACAATAATTGGATTCAGCTTGTGGAAAGAGGTAGGAAAAGTACCTTTGTTTCTTTTTGTTTTGTATGTAGGCACACTATGAGTCAAAATGATGAGCAAATATAATGAAATATGCTTGGTGAAATGAAATATATATATAAAAGCTGTCATCCACTGAAAGTTTGGTTTTAGGTTTGGGTTTTTTGTAAACAAAACTGTTTGCATTTTTCAGTCAGAGTTATTTCACAATTTAATTTGTTAATGATTGTTTACTGTAATTAAGTGTTTAAATTTAAAGGAAGACTTTATTATATGCAGCTATTAGGCTTTGGATATATAAGCTGACTCAACAAAGCAAATACTGCCAAATAAAAACTCAGGATATTGAAAACTGTGTTGCCCCACTCTTGGTTTTAGTGAGAGGGAGTAAGGTTAGATGGAAGTAGAATTATGGGAGGCCATATACGAATAACCTGTTTGAGAAGCTCCCATCAAATTGTAATGGAGTTAAATCCTTCATGCAGAGCACTGTGTAGAGGTGTGTGTATACTGCTTACAGGGAAGAAAAGCTACAGATGTTTCCATGTTCAAAATAAATACTTAGTCCTTTATTGCAAGTCACAGACACCCTGGGGAGGGGAAAGGGTTAGGGTTAGGGTATTGGGAAATTATTTTTTAAACTTCTGTAAGTGCAAAATATGTGGAAAATATCCCATAAAGTGTAATGGTCTGCTGCATTGATGTAGCTTCAAAATAGTTTGGATAACTTTATAGGAATTCAAATATGGAAGCCAGTCTTGACCAACACTATTGTAACATGTTTTGTAACATCAATGTTGTTATAAAAACTTTGGTTGCAGTTTAATCTGACTCTTTAGACATTTCTGCCAGAGTGGTAGATATTCTTTTGAAAAAGAGCTACAATTCTTCAAAAATGTTATGAAATCTATTATAATAAACTAGTTGACCAAATAATTCTGAGTTAAATCTGGGCAGCAAATGGATTGAGAGCAATCCCAAGGAGAAGGACTTGGGGGTGTTGGCCAACGAAAAGGTCAACATGAGCTGGCAGTGTGTGCTTGCAGCCTAGAAAGCCAAATGTGTCCTGGGTTGCATGAAGACGAGTGTGGCCAACAGGTCCACAGAGGTGATTCTCCCCCTCTACTCTGCTGTCGTGGGACCCCACCTGCAGTCCTTCAGCTCTGGGGCGCCAAAAAAAGAGGGAGATGGACCTGCTTGAGCGAGTCCAGAGAAGAACTGTGAAGGTGATCAGAGGGCTGGAGTACCCCTCTGTCATGGTTTAAGCCCCACTGGTAACTCGGAGCCATGAAGATAAGTTGAGAGAGTTGGGCTTGTTCAGTCTGCAGAAGAGGAGACTCCAGGGAGAGGTTACTGCAAACTTCCAGTACCTATAGGAAGCCTACAAGAAATCTGGAGAAGGACTTCTACAAGGGCATGTAGGGATAAGACAAAGGGAAATGGCTTTAAGCTGAAAGAGGGGAGACTTAGATTAAATATTAGGAAGAAATTCTTTACTGTGAGGGGGATGAGACACTGACACAAACTTCCCAGAGAAGCTGTGGCTGCCTCACCCCTGGCAGGGGATGAGGCTTTGAGCAACGTGGTCTAGTGGAAGGTGTTCCTGCCCATGGCAGGGGATTGGGACTGAATGATCTCTAAGGTCCCTTCCAACCCATTCTGATTCTGATTAATTTTTAATAAAAGCAGTGTGGGAGTTTGGACTCTAGGGGGCTTCATCTATCGCAGATCCAGTTTCCGCTTTTAAGCGGTGGTGAACACTTCGCTCTCCAGGTTCGTAACTCATCCCTGAGTTTAAAAACTTTGATTAACAGTAATGGGACAGTGCAAATGCCTTGAGGTTCTTAATCTGTTACCGTGGCTATAAATGGCTCAGTGTACAGCTCAGCATCTTTCTGCTTGGTCACCTTCTGACTCAGTCTGACGTAGTCCATCATCTAACTAGATTTTTCTAAGCGCTTTGATTGATGAGTGGAGCTGGTTCTCCTTGAGGTGGCAGTAGCGGTTCCTTTTTCTGTTTGTCTATTGTTCTGGGGACAGATCAGGTCTATATGTTACAGCACTGCTACAGCTTTCAGCCCCGATACAAACATATGGCAGCTGTTCTTGTGCTACCCTAACATGGCTGGTTGTGAACTGCTATCACTTGACAGCTGAATTGTCCAGGTAATGGGGTGGAACCCCTCAGTTAAAAGCAGGCTCCCACTTCTGACTGTCCTCTCTGGCTGTCCCCAGGTAAGTTGTTCCTTTAGTCTGGCATAACCTGTAAACTTTTTCAAAAAGAGCTAGTGTTCACTAGCTTTCATTTAGCATTTACAGCAGCATGATTGTGCTCCAGCTCCTTGAGGCTGACCAGCTTCTAGCCATGCCTTCTTCAAATGTTTATCTGAAATAAGCTAAAGGAGTGACAATTCTCACGTCTTAATGAAGGATCTGTTGTTCCTTCACCCCTCAAACCTGACAGAATGGGGAAGCCATACTGCAGGCTTGCAGTCAGGGCTGGTCTGAAGGAGTTAGCATTCTGTTTGACTTCCCAGAATCCCTTCTTTTCCCAAAATGTTTTTCAAGAATATAAACTGAGATGTCCTACTTCCTAAAATATACTGTACTTCACTAGTTGAAGTAAAAGCCAGAGGAAAGTCCGGGCAGACTACCTACCTAATGATCTAGGAAATTTCTTTACTCCTGTCTTTCTTGCATAGCATCTTTCTGACAAGTCACCACAGTCCAACCCCTCCTGCTCAAGCAAGTTTACCATGAGAACATGTATCAGCTTCTTGGTTCAGTGTCCTTACTTGTATGTATTTGTGTTTGAAAACCTGAACTATGGTTTTGATGCATTTAAGACCAGTTAAAGTTGATGGATGTTGTTGTCCTATAGGTTTTTTTTGTTATTGGGGTTTTTTGCTTGGTTTATTTGTTTGATTATAAGTATTATAATAAAATAGAGAGAGGTGAGAGCTTATGTTTAACGTACTTATTTTGGAGGTGGTCTCCTGCTGTTAGGTAAACTGTGTTTTCCAAAATATTCAAACAAAAATACCAATTAGGAGGGAAAGCTCAGATGAAACCCTTTTCTGTTACTTAAGACTTAAATAATCTAGAGAGCATCTCATTATATTAACTGTAAGTAACCAAAGATAAATATGTTTCCGTCAGTTTTTCCCTAGGATAATGACAGAGCTTTCAGAACTACAAGAATTCTATGATCCTGATACAGTAGAACTTATGACATGGATAAAGTAAGTTTGAAGTCCTACATTTCTGTTTTACTGCTTTATATCAGGGTATTTTTATCTCAGCATTTTGTGGAGCTCCCTCTATTAATCTGAGTTTTCCCTTGCTAAGACATTCCACAATATGTGGGAGGAGAAGTGTGTATTTTAGGTTTGGTATTATTCCTATGGAAAGAAACAGGAATGTATTTATCATCGATTACAAGAGGAGAAGATCTTGAAACACCCAAGCAAATCATGTTTAATATCATTGCTAGACCTAATTTCCAGATAAAGGCGGACATCTCAGTACCTGGCTCTTTGCATGCTACCTTTTCCGTAATTACAGGATTCATGTTGGCTCTCATGATTCATGTGATGCCAACAGGGGGCAGAAACGCTGCAGTTCTTGTGTGCATGAGCCAGTAAAATGAAATGCCTGAATGTCGCCATTTAGACTTCAGTCAAGATACATGCATTATAACATAAATGATTCACACTTCCTCTTTGACCAGAAGGCTGGAAGGGTTCTTGCATGTCTGGCTAGGTAGGGCATGGCAAATACTGAGCTCTGTTATATAGTTCATACTGAACCAAATACATAGCTAATACTGAGTCAAGTTACTTTCACAGATGTGTGTTTCTTCTCACCAGAAGTTTCAGAACTGGATTCTGGTCTCATTCAATCTAACTTTGAACTATGTCATTAGGAACTGCACTTCTCTGAAAATGAGATCCCCTGTGTTCAGATAACTTACTTTTAACTGTATTTATATATATATATTATTTTCTGTGTCTATACAGTCTTTAATATCAATTTGTTCATCTTCAGAAAAGGGAAGGCTGGTAATTGTGGTGTTCCAGCCAGTTTCTTCTTTCTGTTATAGTAGTGTATGTTGTTTGCCACTGCTGTAGCTCTTGATGGCAGCAAATGGAATAATGCCAAGTACCTAGTGGCTTTTACATTAGTCTGCATGCATTACACTTCAAGCACATAATTAATCATGGTGAATTGCATTGAGATTCACTCAGCTAAGAACAATTTGACTATCCTTATTTGTATCAGCTGTTCATATTTTCAATGAAAATAAGGATTTTTTTTAATTATTATTTTTTAAAAGGATATACTTAGATATCCATATTGGAATTTTAGTTGAATGTAATCATTACAGTGTATTTTCTTAAGTTTTTCTGTCTGAGAATATAAACTTATTGTGAATTTTCTCTGCAGGAAAAGTTGCCCAAAATCTGTAATGAAGTGTGACAATGACTGTTTTCTTTCACTAAAGCACGAATGTGAATAATGAAAAAATTAAACCAAACCCAGGAAACAGAATTACTGCAAACATTATTCTGTAGCATGATACTGTTTCCTCATAGATAATGAAATATATACTCCTAGAGATCAGATGAAAATAATCACAAATCTTTGACTTTCAAGATAACGTTATGCTTCTATTTCTACCTGCCCTCCCTCTCAAGACTGTTTTGTCACAAGTCAGCAACCATTCAGAAGAGCAATAGTTTGATGTGTTCCAGGACTGCATCACTGTTCTGAATGGTGCTCCATGGGTTGCAGGGAGGGGAGGAGAATGTCCACCCCTTGCCCCAACAGGAAGAATTCCTTGCAAACTCCATATTGCTGCAGGTCTAAGCTTTTCCTGGCAAGGAAACTACTGTCACTGCAGCATTAACATCAGTTGTGATTAGACCCCCAATGATTTCTTCATGTACTCCAATTCATACCTTAAGAAGATTCATACAGTGTATAAAATTAAAACAATTTTTTTGAGAAATGCATCCAATACTCAGACATGTGTTAATGGTGCTTTTGCAGGCGACAGGCTCCTGTGGCTGCTGTGTTTGCAGGCAGCCCACAGTTGATGGGCGTGATTAAGCTCTGTACCGGATGGATGGTGTCAAGCTTGCCTTTGTATAATGATGCTGATCTGCTGAAAAGAAATGAAAATGTAAGTATCCAATTCTATTAATGTGGCATCTCACAGGAACTGTCTTCCTTTTCACCCAAATATAATGAGGAAAAACATCAAATATATTGAAAGGAAGGAAGACATAGGAGTCTAGCAGACAGGGAAGGGAATATCACGTAGATTATCAATGCTTCAATCTGTACAAGAACAAATATCAAAATATTATTTCTGAAGACTTTTCAGGCCACTTGGAGTATATAAAATGAGAACTTGCCTTTAGCAGAGACAAATACTTCCCATTCAGCTGGCCACTTGTTTTGGAGATTTCGAAACTAAACCTTTTATAGTTTGGTGTGTACATATAATTTATTATTGCAGATAAGTTACCCTTCTCCCCCGAGTATTTAATTTATCACTGGTTTTTGCATTGCATGAGTATGTTTTCTTAATTTATAGATTTATCAGATCTATTCAAAGAGGTCAGCAGAGGATATTTATAAGATACTCACATCTTACAAAGCCAATTTTCTGATTATTGAAGATTCAATTTGCAATGAAGTGGGACCTGTAAGAGGATGTAGAGTTAAAGATCTGTTGGACATTGCTAATGGTCATGTAAGTAACAGTAAGAAAAAAAGAATGTTTGAATGCACAAGTAATTAATTTTAAAAGAAATGGTCTTATAAGGCTGATCTTATTTTTCTGGTTGTAATTGACATGTAGACAAAGACTCATGAATTTTAGGTGGTGAATTAAGTTTTGATTTGTCTGTTTCTTACACACCTGTAACCTTATCCCATATTATTCTTTAACTGCCCTAATCCCTCCTGTTACGTTAGTACTTGTGCTGCTTTTCTGCTAATCATTAAATACCATTTAACTATATATAAATATTTAAGACTGTAACACCTGAAGAGGTTATTACAAAAGGAATAAAGCCCTGCCTTGGAGGGCATTCCTTACTAGCTTTGAAGATGAAATTTTAAAATGGATAAACTGAGTTCTTCTAAAACTCTGCCTGGGATGAAGACCAGCCTGCCATTCAATCCAGTGCAGCCTGTTTGGTACTAATGAGGTCACAAGTCTGTTTGGTCTTGCAGATAGGTTAGCACCCCAATAGATAGCTTAAGCCACAGCTGCTGAAAAGATTGTTGGTTGAATAAACTGCAGAGTTATGAGTATTTACATGAATGCTGCTTCAGTTGCTGCCATGCTGTGTCTGTTCTGAAAGCTGATAGTGCCGCTTTTGCTGCTGAAGTAGTGAGTAAGATGAGGTTTATAGAGTGATCTCATTGCCACTTGTTTTTCTGTTTCCTGTGAATCCAGCCAAAGTTTTGCCTTTACAAAGGCAGGAATGACCCTTAACTCACTTAGGGTTTGGTTGCTCATTCTCAGTTCAACAGGAGAGAGGGAGACACGAGTTGCTTCTAACATCAAAAGACAATATCCAATGCAAGGAATCTCTTTGATAAATGCCACACACAGCACTGACAGTACGCATAAACTGTTAGTATTTTTGTGTAATGAGGATTGTCAAAGTGACAAAAGGTTATCCTATCTGTAGTGGAGAGATTAAGAAAGGGAAAATAAGGTTCATGATGAGAGTTTAATTTCCAACAGGAATAAAATTGTGGGGGTTTTGGTTGGTTGTTTTGTGTTTTTTTGTGAGGTTTGTTTTTTTTTGTGGAATTTGTTGGTTGGTTGGTTGGGATTTTTTTTTGGGGGGGGGGAAGAGTGGGGGTCAGAAAGTTGACATAGCTTGTTCCTGACAGTTGGCAGTGTGTTGTCTCAGAAGCTTTGAAACAAAACTCTCAGATTTCCTTACTAACAAAAATTGTTTAAGTTGTATTGAAAGATAATCAAGGCTTTCCAAACTAGGGCATATGTAATTGGAGAGTTATTTATTTATAAGACTTACTCCCAAAGTAAGTGAGACAGTGGGCATGCTGTTATGCTGTTGACAGGTTCTGTTTTCCAAATTGCTGTGTTTAAAGAGGTAAGTATTACTTTCTAGCTTGGACAAAATCCTATAATCCTAGTCTGGTATCTTGCTTCTGATACTGGCTGAGAGCATATGATTATTGATAGACAAATGTTTTCTAGCAGTCTGTTGCTAAAGGATTGTAGCTCATAGGACATATCTTTGCATTTGTAGCCACTGGTAGATTTTTCTGCATTAATTTGTCCTACCAGCTTTTCTTAAACCCATGTAAATTTGTGCCATCAGAAGGAGTAGCAAAGGGATTTATTTAAGAATATTGGATAGTAGATACTAAAGTGCACAAGCACTTTACTTCCAAGTCAGTTGGTTGGAATGTATAGGGTGATACATGTGTGTCTGTCTTTAGGCTTTATTAGGTATGTCAAACTTTCTTGGCCTGGAAAACATCATTGAGGGTTTCCTACCCTATACAAGTGGTATGCTATGTACAAGTCAGGTTTGAAGCTTTCTGCTTTCTGCTGCCATTGTTCTTCATTGTATGAATAAAGTTCATGTCTGCTATCCTACAAAGGTATTAATTCACAAAGGCTGTTTTAGATGGTTAAATTATTGAGGAATATGTTTTCATCATACAGCATGGAAATTAAATGTTTATTGTAAACGAAATTTACAGAATACAGGAGTAAGTTAAATGTGTAGCGTTATGTTCTGTAACCACTTATCTTCACTATTTTAATTAGATCTTCTTTTCTGGCAGGTGGTTTGTGAGGAAGGAGACAGCTATGCCGACTCAAAATATGGACGATTTTGTCATGAAATCAAAATGAATTATTCTCCATATGTTAATTATTTTACTCGAGTATACTGGAATAGATCCTACTTTGTATATAAAATCAACACTGTGATATCCTTCCAGTCATGAAAAAGCATGCAGGCTTCTTTCTGAGGATTGATTGAGAATGGAATTCGGTTGGAAGAGTACCTTTTGATCAAGGGAGTTATTTTTGCAGATACATGTGCATATATGCAGTGTATTGACAACTTTATTTTACCAAACTGGAGTTCTTTGAACTGCAGATCAGCAGACACAGATATCATCCTTGAAGGAAACAGGAAAACTTGTCAATTTTACAGTCTCTGCAAAGTGTGACAGTCTTCCAGGTTTTTGCATTTTCTTTGCATTATAAATCATCTTCATGTAAATGAGATTTCTAACTTTAGTGTTAGAGAGCTGATGTGGATAGACTTCAGTAAATGCAGAAAAGTTATTTAAAGAGCTCATTTAAGATGTACAGCTTTTATTTTCTAGTAAGAAAGCAGTCGGTATCCTGAGTCTTTTCAAGTAAGTGTTTTGGGGTTTTTGGTTTTTTAATTCTTCCACTGTAAGCATTTCTGTGTTTATCAAACACACATTCATGCATTGTATGTGTAGCTGTCGTGTTTATATAAATCAAATAAGGAAGATTTTATTTAAACTGCACTTCCTTAGATTAAGGCACTGATCTTTACATTGTTAGAGACATGTAGAAGACATGGTGGAAGTGCTTGGACTTATACCTAGCAGTAGGAGTTGACCAGGTCAGATATTCAGTATGGAAAGAACTTGTCTTCAGGATTTTTCCATGCTTAAGTGTGTATGTATGTATGCATATGTGTGTCTCAGCAGCTATAAGAATGGGCCAGTATAGAACAGTATGCCATACTTGCTTTTAGACAAGTGTAGGAGGACAACTAGGTTTGCTACTGAGACTTCTGCACTTCTGTTTCACCCCCTCTGCCTGCGTGCTGGCACCTGTGTGTGTGTGTGTGTGTGTGTGTGTGTGTGTGTGTGTGTGCGCGTAGGGATGGGTGATACTCATTTCATTCAACTTACTATGTTATAACTACATAAGATATTGCTGTAACTATGACTTAAAACACTATAATCACCACCATTAATACATAATGGTACAGTTTTTCATAGCTATTTTTATACCAATTATGCAACTACACTGAGATCTTCTAAAATTTGGGAAAGTACTCTGTAATCTTGTTTCCCTCTAAAATTTGTCTTCCTCATATGACTCCCTTTGCATCTACAACTATTTTTCTTAACATATTATGTGTTCATCATGTTTCTTGCTGGCTGATATGCTTTCAAGAGAAAATGATGCTTTAATTACAACTCTAGGCCTAATCCTCATGTTGTAAGTGGAAAATCCACTAAAAGGTAACAATAGCTTTGTTTACATAGGTGTAGCTGGACAAAAAGCCAGGACATAAGTTTTGGAAGAGGTTATTCACCTACTAGGAATTACCTGCAGTTATGGATTCATGTAACACCTGGCCCAGAGACCAGTCTGTCAAACATGTGCAAATGTTTCTTTGGAGCCCAGATGTCTGTAGTCAAGGGTCTGGCACAATAGGATGATGAACGATCTGCAAACCATTCTGCAAAGGAAAGCTGCAAAATTATCCTTGCCACACTTGTTGATGAAAGGCAAACTCAGAGATTTTAACTCTGAAATTATTAGGAACTGCAGCATGTTGGTGATGTGGGTGATTCTTTTCTGCTCTATGCAGATGCATTTGCTTACTTTACACTAACAGGTAGTGCTGAGATGTTTTAAAACCTGTTATCACTATTGGAGTGATATAAAAGAAAAACCTTTATTGTTATCAAAGTCAACATGTCTGTAATCTGTTTTCTACATTCAGTTATATTTTTAGGCCTCTGAGTCTTGAAAAGATGTTAAATTATGTATTTTATTGGAAACCAATGATCAGGTAAATCCACAGAATATACTGGGATAGTCATTGAGAGAGACCTTCATCAGTATAACTGAGTTACAAATTAAAAGTAAATATCCTTTCTCGGGATGCAGTCGTGTTGAGGACAGTGTGTATGTGTGTCTGTAGCCAAATGCAGTCTGCATTTGTTTGCTTACGGACAAGTGCATATGTTTTACTGAACTGGACTTTTCAATTACCATATAAGAACAGAAGGTATGGCAGGCCTGCAGGAGCCTTCTCTCTGTGTGCTAGTATGGAAGTAAATGTAGTATTTGAAAGTAAGATTAGCGTTCCTTATACAGTTTTAAGTTTGTTTGAATTGCTGTTACATGTCTGTGTGTCAGTCACTTGCTCGCCTGAAGTTAATCATTCATGAATACCATTTCATAACAGCAATAAGGCATTCCAGGTAGCAAACTTCAGGGTTACAACTGCTCTTGGGTGGATGAAGTCGCACAGTTTACGGCTTCATGCCTTAGACTGCCATGCCAAGATGCAATATTTAACTATCCTTGACTGCCTGTTGCTTTTTACCGCAGTACTGTATGTATGTGTTACCCCACATAGTTTGACTGCTTACACGTACAGCACACATGTTAAGAAAAAACCCACAAAAGAGGCCATCTGTACTTGTAAAGAAAACTACCTTGTAGTGTGTTGGCCTTTCTGCACATTTAAACAAACATGTTGAACTTTATTTGAACTGTGACATATTTTAGTTGTTAGTTTTGTCATAGTTTTTAAGATGTATTCTTGATACTTCAATTGATTCTGCTTTAGGAGAATCATTCAAGATTTTTACCTTTTTATATTAGAGAAAATTGTATTGCAGCACAGTTGGCACAGCAACCTTAAATAACAGAATGAACCTTTTATGTGGTAGAAATGCTGCTGTTGTTCCAGTAAAAAGGGCATCATTTGTAAAATGAGTGACTGGAAGAATCATATCTTACTGAGAAAGATGAGCCTGAATTTCTTATCCAGCTATCGATTAGCAAAAGTTTTACTGTCTATTTTAATCTCCACCTTCTGTGAAAAATAAGCAGTAATTTTCAGTATAACCCTCAGACAAGAACAGAGCATAATTACATCAGACTAGTACACAACCTGAGCTTGGTTTTCAGCCCTGTCTCAGGTTTAACTCCCTGGAAGGGCCGGGGGAACATTTTACAAGTTTTGATCTGTTTTGCTGTAGATGTTGCAATTCAGTTGAAACACGTGCCTTGCAAGCCTCTATTAAATGAACAGAAAACTCCCTTTGTGTTTCTTTTTGTGAAGATTGTTGGTTTTGTTTTGATTTTCTTTTTCTAAATCTCTGACTTTCTGATTTCTAAAGCTTCCTTTGTGTCTTAATACCCCAGTCTCTGAGGATGCTCCTGTAGTAAGAGGTGCAGCTGAGATGTATGCCAGCCATCTAACAGCTGATGTAAGAATTTGCATAGCAATTTGTGTTGCTATTTTGCTGGCTTATTTCCTCCTTCACGTTTCCAGTTTCTGATATGCTTCATCTTAGTAAAGGCAGAAAGATTACCTTGAAGAAATAAAGTGAGTATAGTATTTTCAGGCGCTCACCTGTCACAATTACAGTTGCAGGTTAAAGTTTAATCGAGCCACAGCTAAACTGATGTGTAGTTCTGTCTTAATCTTAAAAAAAAATGCTCTTTCACTTCTTGAATTACCACATACTTGAATTCAGTTGATAGATTTGCCAGGAGGTGTTTGAGAGTAAGTAAAGGCATTTCAGAAGCTTCTTTTCCTATTACTAGAAAAAGTACTGCTTTTATTTCTTCCAAAGTAAATGGAATACAGTTTGATACACTACAATCTTAAATGCAATTTCCATCGAGAAGGGGTAAGTAAGAGATGCAGAAGGAAGAAAGAAGGCCAAAAGATTTAACAGGCATTGAAAAATATTCAAACTATTTGCTCTGTGGCATTACTGGTTACTGAAAGGTAGAAGGTTAGGGACCAAATCTTATTCATACCACCTTATTTTTACTAAGTCATCTGCAAATGTCCAAATCTTATGATCCTTCGTATGCTTTCCCATGCAATTCACATGACTAGGAGCTGTTCAGGCAGGTTGTAGGGATTTGTAAGCTGTCATTGAAACTCTTCTTAATGACTGCTGTAACTTGTATAACCAATCCTTTAACCAAAAATCTAACAGAAGAAAGTGTAGGCTGTTTGTGTGGGTGCGTGGGCATGTGTGTTCTATTTCCATTTAGAGATGTCTGGTTTGCTCTTGTGTTTGGAGATGTAATGAGTGACTTCTGTTTTGCTAATTGGTGGTCGAACCTATGAATCTCCTAAATATGGACTGACAGGTGGACTCTAGAGTACTGTGGTATTAGAGATGAAATAAAAGCTGAGTTGATTCCAACACAAGCAATATTTTATGTGAAATAATACCTCAACATAGATCTATATAATCATGCCTTTAGTACTCTTTTAAAAACCTTAAAAAAGTGGTAATTCTAAAACATACAATGTGTGTTATTTTAATAATCATTCCTACACCCTCAGTACAGCTAAAAGAAAATACCACCTTTCTGTTGCTGCACTCTTACTATGCCAAATGCAGAGCTAGTGATGCCTAAAGGTCTTCTGAACTGTTTGGTACCTCAGCTAGATGTTTAAATGTGTAATTAATCTGGCAATGTTTTTGACTTCACAGCTAAATGTATGTAATTCTGCCTTTCAAGTTATGTTTAAGGTTACCTCTTTATTTGATGGAAAAGAGGTGGGTGTTTAATGCCTTCAAACTTTGTTACTTAGTAATGCAGAAGAATTTCTGGTGGTGCTTTACTTGTTAATGATGTTTAGAAGTAGCGTATATGGCATATGGACATATCTATGTGCAGCTATTTAATAACAACTCTAAGGAATCTAATTCCTTTTATCTTATTTGTTGTCTTGGACAGGTTTTTATTGAAATAATGTATACATAGTAAATATTTTTCTCTTGTGACAGCTTTTTTTCTGTAAAAAACAAAAAAAAGGTAATAAAAGCCAAGTTCAGAAAGTATGGATTGTTTGGGACACAAACTGGTTTCTTCTTTCATTTGAGAAGTGTGATAGCCTTTCACAAAACCATGTAGTTCATAATGAATTAACCTCAGAGGCTGCGGTAGTGAAGTGATTTTTATATTCTATCGTATTATTTGTATATGCAATTTTCAGTCAAGTGAAGACTGTACTCAAATACGTGTCTTGATGGGCAGCATCAGTACTCTTGCAGATGTCAAGGTATAGCAGCATGCTCAGGCTGGATCCATATGTCATGCTGGTTTGATGACCTCTTGAGACACACTGGCATGAGGATGAGCAGCAAAATATGAGGTGCTTCACACAGAACTATTGAACTCTGCCTTTCTCCCTCAAGATCCTCCCCACTGCAAGCATGTCACCTGGAAATAAATTGCTATGCAGCATCAAGTGCTTATTCATTTTATTTTATTTTTTTAATCAACTAATGTACCATCTGTCTTGACTTTTTACAGGTTATTATTACATGTATTGGAGCTTTCTATCATTTTACTACCTTGTTGTAATTTACCATGTACTGATATGAAAACCTTGAGATTATTTTAAGTTCTGAAGATGGTAGAAATACCCTATGAAATGCTTCTCCAAAAATCAGTCATATGACACCTAACAAAATGTGTCTTTATGTCTTTAATTCATCATGGTTCTGAGTTTGACTGTTCATCAGTTTGCTTCCTTTTAGTCCAGCCAGGGAATGCACCAATGTTGAAGTATCTAAGTTTATCCATTAATTCTTCCAGCACATGGGCTTTCTGATTGTTTGTCTGAAAGGGAGATGGAGCTTCCTGTCACCATGAAATATGTGTTGATGTTTGGGTGCTCTTCCATGTCTTTATCCAAAACTGAGACCGTGGTTACCAGCTGTGAAATACAGACTATCCTATTATATGTAATAGAATTTTATATTTATATTTGGATATAAATATAAATAAATATATCCAAATTTATATTTGGATATAAATAGGTGTGTAAAAAAAATGTGTATTTTATGTCTGTATCTCTGCATGAAATATATATTCTGATTATGGTCAGTGATTGAAGTTGTCAGCTAAAATTACTGTTGTTCTGGGGGCTTTCTCCCCTAAATGGTAGCTCTGTAATCTGTTTCCAGGACATAATTTCCCAGATTTTCCAAGTTTTGCTGTGACCCAGACCAGCACACTTCAATTCCTTTATGCTTTCAGATTGCTTGCATAGCAAATGTGGGAGATGGTTTTTAATAGTAATCAGATGAGGTGCATTTCATTATGAATTAAATTGCACATAGAGAATACACAATCTAGAGTATTACAGGTCTATTCAGTAGGTTAGAACACACCAGCAGTATATATGTTTAATTTCAAGAGTTCTGAGCAGCCTTTACAATGCCTTGGAGTTTCTTCTTGTTTCAAAGATATAACTGTAATGTCTGCTGGTAAGCCGTGACTTCTGATGGTACTATAGTGACTGGTTATAGCAAGACCAAAACCACATTAAAATGGACTTTTTACACTGTTGCAATAAATACTAGCAGATTCTGTAAGATTGTAGAATCATAGAATGGTTGGGACTGAAAGATGAGGATGCCCAAAGCCATTCTTTCCTCTGAAGAAAGCTGAGCAAGGAAGGGCAAGAATGCAGCTGCCTTCTCGAGCGCATCGTGTTGTGCTGTCTGTGAGACCCAGAGCAGGAAGCCGTGGTCTCGCTGGAATGAGGGCTGGGTGCTGGAAAGAGCACAAACAGTTTCCTTGTTTAATCTAACTTCAGCTGAACAATAAGAGACATCGCTGCTGCAGAAGTGATCCACCAGTTTATGCAGTTTTAGAAAGGTACAGTAAAATCAAGCCTTGTTTTTGTATCATCATGCAAACTTATTTCAGAAGCACTAACAGTACTTCACATCTGTTTCTGCATTATTGACACCTGCATAAACGCTGCTGCTTTTTTTTCTCCTCCCAATTGACCCACTTTATGATGATCCAATCTGTAGTCTGAACTTGCTGGTTGTATTCTAGTGGCTTGTCACAGCTGCAGGAGGTGCTGAGGAAGGCTGTCAGGCTTGCTGGTAGTTTGGCCTCAGAATAGCAATTCTTAGATTTAGTGGTTGCCATTCATAGTCTTCAGGTTTGCTGGAGAATGATAGAATCACAGAATGGTTTGGGTTGGAAGGGACCTTAAAGCTCATCCAGTTCCAACCCCCTGCCATGGTCACGGACATCTTCCACTCAAGCAGGTTGCTCCAAGCCCCATCCAACCTGGCCTTGAACACTGCCAGGGATGGGGCAGCCACAGCTTCTCTGGGCACCCCGTGCCAGTGCCTCACCACCCTCACAGGGAAGAATTTTTTCCTAATATCTAATCGAAATCTCCCCATTCCCTTTGATCTGTCACTACTTGCTCCTATAAAAAGTCCCTCTCCAGATTTCTTATAGCGCCCCTTTAGACACTGGAGCTGCTCTAAGGTATTCCTGGAGCCTTCTCTTCTGCAGGCTGAACAAGCCCAACTCTCTCAGCCAGCCTGTCCTGTTTCAAGACAAGTTTTGATCAGTACCAACACACAGCACAACCTACCCTCTTCTGCAATGTGTTGTGTCCTGCAGGCCTTACACAAACTCTCAACAAGCAAACTAATCCTAGAACTGGATGATCTGAGTGGTCTGGATGCTAACCCAAACCATTCTATGATCCTGTGATTCTAAACTGAATTTCTGTTTGGATGGTGGGGCTGGCTCATTCAAGTGAGTTAATGAGCTTTGGAGTACCTCTGTGAGGCAGGGAATTGCATTTTATTTTTATGTAGGGCGCAAAGAGTAAAGATAACACACTCAAAGGCTTGCTACCAAGCTTTGGTGTGGACCATAGATGGATCCTGATGGTTATTTTCCTGCCATTACCAGTAAACCATTCCTTAAAAATCTGCGGGTAAAAATAAAGTCTGGCAGCTTGTAATTGCAATGTGATCTTCCAACAATCCCTTCTCCTTGTGATCCCCCGCGGGAGCAGAGGTGCAGATCTAGCAGCTGGTCGTCACCTTTGACTGTTGCCTGTAATGTCTGGCTAAAGCTGATTGAAATGGTTTCTGGCTGTCTTGAACAAAGTTTCACTTCCAGCCGAGGTATGTTCCTAGTGCACTTACACAGCTGGCAACAAACACCCCGCCTGCCTAACAGCATTCCAGGAAAACTAGCAAACCTGTGTCCAAAACAGCCAAAGAAGGGTTTTTAATGGACAAATACCCCGTTTGACCAGCTGGATGCAGAGGCTCGGCAAAAGGCTCTTCCTGTGCTGTTACCATCACTATGTGAAGGGAGATGGTGGTGGTGTAGTTTACCAGGATGAATAGAAGCCACTGCTGGGACTTCTGCTTGGAACGATGAGAAAATGAGTAGTTTGGTTTGACAAGTAGTGGGGAGGGATTGGCACTGGGGCGGTCTGGCTTGGATTCATGCTTCCATAGAACAGGGTATGACCAGTGCAATGACTCCTGTACCCAGGTTGTTTTATGCGTGTTTAGCAGGTCTGATGTGTTTGCCCAGTTCAGAAGGGCCATTTAAGTAATGCTGTCCAGAACAGCACACACTATTCTATTTCCAAAACAATTTCACCCAAAGACTGCAATTTTAAATGTGACAGCTGGTGTTATTTCATGTTGCATATTGGGACATTTTGTTCTTCCCCCTTCTGCCAAAACTGCATCTTCCCTGAAGGAGCAGGAGCCTGCATATGCGCTCCAGAGAGGCCACGCTTCTATGACAAGCCCAGCTCCCATCAGAAAAATGTGTCTGCTGGGTTACAACTATTTCTCCATGATTCAAGTATCACAAGGCTCTCTCTGCTTTCTGCAATAGTGGCTTTTCTGCTGTTTCAGTTACTGGTTGCTCTTGTAGCTTGGCTGGGGGCTTTCATCTGTGCTCAGGAGAGCAGGAGGTCGCCCTTGTTCCTTGGAGTCCCCCATACCAGAGTGCACAGCTCCTGCTCCTGTGGCTGCCTCTCTTGAGGAAGAGCAGAAGAGAGTGTCTGGCCAGCAGGGGAATAGCAGAATCACAGGATGGTTTGAGTTGGAAGGGACCTTAAAGCTCATACAGTTCCAACCCCCTGCCATGGGCAGGAACACCTTCCACTAGACCAGGCTGCTCCAAGCCCTGTTTGACCTGGCCTTGAACACTTCCAGGGATGGGGCAGCCACAGCTTCTCCGGGCAACCACCTGTGCCAGTGCCTCACCACCCTCATAGTAAAGAACATCTTCCTAATGTCTAATTTAAATCTACTTTAAATCTACCCACTTTCAGTTAAAGCCATTCCCTCTTGTCCTATCACTATCTTTGTAAAAGGTAGCTCTCCAGATTTCTTGTCAGCCTCTTTACACAGTGGAAGGCTACTCAAAGGTCTCCCTGGAGCTTTCTCTTCTCCAGGCTGAACAAGCCCAACTTGCAGCCTGTCTTCACAGTAGATGCGCTCCAACCCTCTGATTATCTGCATAGTCTTCCTCTGGGCCTGCTCAAGCAGGTCCATGTTCCTCTTGCGTTTGTGCCGCAGAGCTGGCTGCCGTACTGCAGATGGGTTCTCACTAGAACAAAGTAGAGTGGGAGAATCACTGTTGGCCATCTTTCTTTTGACTGGGAGGATACAGTTGGCTTTCTGGGCTGCAGGCGCACACTGCTGGCTCATGCTGAGCTTCTCCCCAACCAACACGTCGAAGTCCTTCTCAGGGCTGCTATCAATCCGTTTTCCACCCTAGGCCGTGTTTGTGCTTGGGATTGCCCCGACCCACACGCGGGACCTTGCACTTTGCATTGTTGTACTTCATGAGGTTGGCGTTGGCTCGCCTCTCCAACCTGTCAAGGTCCCTCTAGATGGCATCCCTTCCAGCCAGCGTACCAACCGATCCACACAGTTTGGTGTCATCTGCAAACGTGCTCAGGGCACACTCAATCCCACTGCCCGTGCCCCTGACAAAGATGTTGAACAGCTCCATTCCCAACAAATAGAAAAAGCAAACTCTGGAATGGAGCGGATGGGCTTTCCCCCGGGATTGCCATGCACCGCGCCACGAGCGGGGTGGTCCCTCCCTGTCCCCGCCTATGGCTCTGCCCGGCCATGGGGCGGGACGGGTTCACATGTGTGTGCGGCGGGACCGCGGCTCAGTGCGCTCCGTGGGGTGCTCCGCTCCGCTCCGCACAGCTCCGCGCTGTTCTGCGGGATGGGCCGGGACGACCGCTGGCGGCTCCCGGTCCTGCGGCTGCTGCTGGTGCTCCCGCTGCTGTGCGGGGCGGCGGGGCTGGGGCGCGCCTGCGCTCCCCGGCTGCTCCGCTTCTCCGGGCAGGTGCCCGAGAACAGCCCGGCAGGAACGCGGGTGCGGGGCTTGCGGGTGCCGCTGCGGCGGCTGCTGGGCCCTGGGGAGCCCGCCGGG